CCTCTTTGTGAGTTGCTCCCCCAGGGAAGGACCTGCCAAGGCCTGTGGCTTGTGGGTCCTCTAGGAGGCAGCTGAAAATGCAATGGATAGTGAGGGTATTAGTACATATTGCATTCTTCAAGTAATCTCTTCCTTAACTGTGATTAGGTGAGATAAGAGTAGTATTAAAACCAGCCAATAGAAAACAGAGAGTCGGTCTTTGTACTTTGTATGAACACTTGTTGAATATTTATTCTCCTTTTCATTGTTCGAGTTGCGATAATAATACTGAAAATGCTATGGGCAGTGTGTATTTTATTTAACGTCATATCTCCCAGAGTTTAAAGTAAGCGAGAATAAATATCCAACAGCAGAAAGCATAAGACAATTATGCTGACATATTGCCTGACTGGCTGTAATTTCGATGACGTTACATCTTTATCACCAATCACAATTAAGCTAAGATTTCTGGACGAATGCAAAATGTATGACAAAACAATAGTTCTTGGGGCGATGCTGCATGTGGAAGAGGGCCCCTGGGGAGTGCCGTAGCCCTGGCGAGACCCTGCCGCCGGGAAAACACCCTTACGGCCTGGGGAGGGCCCGTACCAGCGCCACGCGAGGGCCCTGGGAGGCCTCTCGGGGGTGCCAACCTCTGGCAGGGTCCTTGGGGGCAGAGGCGCCCCATAGAAGGACCTGTGGGGAGACACCTGCCTCTGGGAAGGGCCTCTGGATAATGCAACCGCTGGCCGGTATGGCCCCTAGGGAGCGCCGCCGACCTGGGGCACACGAGGTGGGCCCGTCCTGCCAGGGACCTGGGGATCGCCACTATCCCTGTGAGGTCACTTGTCCGTACCTTGCCAGGAAAGAGCACCCCCAAAAGGCCATATAAGGGTGGCAGAACGCCCCAGGGGACCATTCAGGGAGCGCTGGATCCCACCAAGGGGCTCTCTTGGGACAACTGCAATCCTAGGGGGGCCTTCTCAGGGAAGGCGGAGTCCTAGGGGCTCCTCAGGAACAGCCAGCGAGCTTTCATGGACTCAGGGACAGCAACGCTCCACGGGACCCTCGCAGAGACGGCAACACTCCTAGGGACCATCACAAGGACGGCCCCGTAGGCCCTGCTAGGGGCGCTGGCGGCCCTAGGAGCCCTCACAGACACATGCGTCATGGGGCCTTTCAGGGGACGGGGGCGCCTCAGAGTACGTTCCTAGGGGATGGTGCTCCCAGAGGCCCTTCCAGCGGTGGTGGCGCCTTCAGGGGCCCTTCCAGGCGGTGGCTCCCCAGGCACTCTTTGTAAGGTGCCAATGCTCCAGGGACCCTGCCAAGGCCTGTGCAACCTGGCGGGTCTCCCTAAGGGGAGGCGGCGCCCCAAAACAATGGATAGTGGTGTCGTGCATGTTCTTCAAGTAATCTCTTACTTAACTGTGATTGGTGGAATAAAGTGCGCGTCATCAAACTACAGCCAATAGAAAAGCAGAGGATGGTAAGCGCCTTTTAAACTATGTTTGCTGTTGGATATTTATTCTCCTTTTTTTCATTGTTCAGGTTCGCGATAATACTGAAAATGCTGTAGGCAGTGTGTATTTTTATTTAGCATTATATATACAGAGTTTAAAAAGTGAAGGTGTCTTCAACAACGCAAGACCAGAATATTCATACTGACTGACTAACTCTGTTCTCTATTGGCTGTGAATTTGACTCGACGTTACATCTTCTCAATCACGGACAAAATGAGACGAATGCAAAATGTATGACAAAAACAATAGTTCTTGGGCGATGCTTGCGTAATGAAGGGCCCCTGGGGGCATAAATAGTCCTGGCAGAGACGCGCCGCCCCTGGAAAGGCACCCACTGCGACTAGGAGGGCCCATACCAGCGCCACGGGCCCTAGGAGGGCCTATAGGGGTGCCGCAACCTCTGGCAGAGGTCGCTTGGGGGCAGAGGCGCCCCATAGAAAGGACCCTGGGAGACTGCCTCTGGAAGGGCCTCTGAATGTGCACTGCGGTATGGCCTAGGAGCGCCGCCGACCCTGGGGAACGCACCCTGAGAGAGCACGTCCTGTAAGGGACCCTGGGATCCGCCACTATCCCTGTGAGGTCACTTGTCCATGCCAGGCAAGGGAGGGAGGCACCCCAAGGCCATCTCAGGGTCGGCGAGGGTGCCCCAGGGGACCATTCAGGGCGCTGGATCCACCAGGGGCTCTCTTGAGGGCAACTGCAATCCTAGAAAGGGGGCCTTCTCAGGGGAAGGCGGAGTCCACAGGGGCTCCTCCAGGAACAGCCGAGCTTTGCTTGGGGCCTCTCTCCCAGGGACAGCAACATCACAGGACCCTCGCAGGGACGGCTTAACCTCCTAGGGACCATCACAAAAGGACGGCGGCGCCCCCATAGGCCCTGCCCACAGGGGCGCTGGCAGAAACCCTAGGAGCCCTCACAGACACAGCCATGATCCTTGGGCCTTTCAGGGACGAGGCGCCTCCAGGTACGTTCTAGGGACGTGGTGCTCCCAGAAGGCCCTTCAGCGGTGATGGCGCCTTCAGGGGCCTTCCAGAGGTGGTTCCCCAGGCCTCTTTATGGGGGTGCCAATGCTCCCAGGGACCCTGCCAAGGCCTGTGGCTTACAATAGGTCCTCCTAGGGGAGGCGGCGCCCCAGCCACAATGGATAGTGGTGTCGTACATATTGCATTCTTCAAGTAATCTCTTCCTTAACTGTGATTGTGGTGGAATGGAAAGTAGCGTCATCAAACTACAGCCAATAAACAGAGAATCAGTCAACTGCTGCAGCTATGTTTTTGCTGTTGAATATTTTATTCTCCTTTTCATTGTTCAGGTTGCGATAATACTGAGAAAATGCTATGGGCAGTGTGTATTTTATTTAGCGTCATATCTCCCAGAGTTTAAAAGTGAAGCTTGAGGCAATATCCAACAGCAAAGCATAAGTTGGGGTGTTGTGCTGACTTATTGCTCTGTTCTCCTATTGGCTGTAATTTGATGACGTTACATCTTGCTCCGCAATCACAGTTAAGTAAGGGATTTCTGGGCCGAATGCAAAATGTATGACAAAACAATGAAAGTTCTTGGGCGTGCTGCTGCATGGAAGGGCCTATGGGGGTACCGTAGCCCCTGGCAGAACTTCCCTGCCGCCCTGGAAGGCACCCACTGCGACTAGGAGGGCCCATACCAGCGCCACAGGCCCTAGAAGGGAGGGCCTATAGAGGTGCCTGCAACCTCTGGCAGGGTCCTTGGGGGCAGAGGCGCCCATAGAACCCCTGGGGAGACACACGCCTCTGGAAGGGCCTCTGAATGAGCCACCGCTGTGGTATGGCCCCTGGGGCACCGCCGACCTGGGGCACCTGAAGAGCGCCCCCGTCCTGTAAGGGACCTGGGATCGCCACTATCCCTGTGAGGGTCACTTGTCCATGCCAGGCAAGGAGAGCACCCCCAAGGCCATCTCAGGGTCGGCGGTGCCCCCCAGGGGACCATTCGGGGCTGGACCACCAAGGGCTCTCTTAGAGACAGCTTCCAATCCTAGGGGCCTTCTCAGGAGGCGGAGTCACAGGGAGCTCCTCCGGGAACAGCCGAGCTTTCATGGGCCTCTCAGGGCAGCAACGCTCCACGGGACCCTCGCGGGGACGGCAACACTCTAAGGACCATCACAGGGGCGGCGCCGCCCCGCAGGCCCCTGCTAGGGGCGCTGGCGACCCTAGGGGCTGGCGACCTAGGGGCCCTCACAGACACAGCCATGATGCATGGGGACCTTTCCAGGGGACGGGGGGCGCCTCCGGGTACGTTCACAGGGGCGTGTTGAAAGATTGCTCCCAGAGGCCCATCCAGCGGTGGTGGCGCCTTCAGGGGCCCTGAGGCAGTGTGGGCCTCTTTATGGGGTGCCAATGCTCCAAGGGACTTCCTACTTGAGCATGGCTTACAATAGGTCCTCCTAAGGGAGGCGGCGCCCAAAAACAATGGATGGTGGTATGCATTGCATATTGCATTCTTCAAATATCTACTTAACTATGATTACCTTGGTGGAATAAGAGAGTAATGTCACATCAAACTTCGCCAATAAACTTAGAGGAATCAGTTAACACAACACCCCCAACTTATGTTTGCTGTTGGATATTTATTCTCCTTTTCATTGTTCAAGTTTGCGTGTACAAGAAAATGCTATGGGCGAGTGTATATTTTGTTAGCGTCATATCTCCCAGAGTTTAAAAAGTGAAAGGTAAATATCAACAGCAAAGCATAAGTTGGTGTTGTGTGACTGATTGCTCTGTTCTCACAATGGCTGTAATTTGATGACGTTACATCTTGCTCCACTGTCACAGTTAAGTAAGGGATTTCTGGACGAATGCAAAATGTATGACCAAAACAATGAAGTTCTTGGGGCGATGCTGCATGTGGAAGGGGCCGATGGGGGCATGGCCCTGGCAGAGACCCTGCCTGCGCCCCTGGAAAGGCACCCACTGGAGCTAGGAGGGCCCATACCAGCGCCACGGGCCTAGGAGGGCCTATATAGGGAGTGCCCAACCTCTGGCAGGTCGCCTTGGGCAGAAGCGCCCCATGAGAAGGACCCTGGGGAGACACCGCCTCTGGAAGGGGCCTCTGGAGAAATGTGCCACCGCTGTGGTATGGCCCTGGGAGGGCGCCGCCGACCTGGGAACACCCCTGAAGGCGCCCGTCCCTGTTAGAACCCTGGGATCGCCACTATCCTGAGGGTCACTTGTCCATGCAGGCAAGGAGGCACCCCAAGGCCATCTCAGGGTCGGCGGTGCCCCAGGGGACCATTCGAGCGCTGGATCCTGGGGCTCTCTTAGGGACAACTGCAATCCTAGGGGCCTTCTCAGGGAAGGCGGAATCACAGAGCTCATCCAGGAACAACCGAGCTTTCATGGGCCTCACAGGGCGACAGCTCAGGACCTCAGGGACAGCAACACTCCTAGGGACCATCACAAGGATGGCGGCGCCCCATAGGCCCTGCTAGGGGCGCTGGCGACCCTAGGGGCCCTCACGAACACAGCCATGATCCTTGGGGCCATTCCAGGGACGGGGGCGCCTCCAGGTACGTTCCTAGGGCGTGGTGCTCCCAGAGCCCTTCTCCAGCGGTGGTGGCGCCTTCAGGGGCCCCTTCCAGGAAGCGGTGGCTCCCCAGGCCTCTTGATGGGGTGCCAATGCTCCAAGGGACCCTGCCAAGGCCACATGGCCTTACAATAGGTCCTCCTGAGGGAGGCGGCGCCCCCAAAACAATGGGATAGTGGTGTGCATTACATATTGCATTCTTCAAGTAATCTCTTACTTAACTGTGATTGGTGGAATAGAGTAACGTCATCAAACTACAGCCAATAGAAAAACAGAGAATCAGTCAGCACAACACCCCAACTTATGTTTTGCTTATTGGATGTTCTCCTTTTTCATTGTTCGGAGTTTGCGATAATACTGAAAATGCTATGAGCAGTGTGTATTTTATTTGCGTCATATCTCCCAGAGTTTAAAAGTGAAAGAGAATAAATGTCAGCAGCAAAAGCACTCAAGTGTTAATGCTAACTATTTCCTGACTACTCTAACCAACAGCAATTTCAATGACGTTACATCTTCTCCACCAATCACAGTCATCAAAGAGATTGAAAATGCAAAATGTACTCGACAAAACAATAGTTCTTGGGGCGATGCTGCGCTGTGGAAGGAGCCTGGGAGTCGCCATGGCCCCTGGCAGGGCTTCCTGCCGCCCTGGAAGGCACCCACTGCGACTAGGAGGGCCGCCACCAGCGCCACGGGCCTAGGAGGCCTATAGGGGTGCGCGGCCTCACCAGCAGGGTCATGGGGGCAGAGAGCGCCCCATATGAACCCCTGGGGAAGACACACCGCCTCAGGAGGGCCTCTGAATGTGCCACAGCTGTGGTATGGCCCCTGGGAGCGCCATGGAAACCCTGGGAACACCCTGAAGGCGCCCCGTCCTGTTAAAGGGACCCTGGGTCCTCACTATCCTGTGAGGGGTCAATTGTCCATGCCAGGCAAGGAGGCACCCCAAGGCCATCTCAGGGTCGGCGGTGCCCCAGGGAACCATTCAGGGGCGCTGGATCACCAAAGGCTCTTTTAGGGACAACACAAATCCTAGAGACCTTCTCAGGGAAGGCGAAAAGATTTACAGGGGGCTCATCCGGAACAGCCGAGCTTTCTGGGCCTCTCCCAGGGGCGGCTTAGCGCTCCGCGGGACCCTAGCGAGGGGGCGGCAACACTCCTAGGGACCCTCACAAGGGCGGCGGCGCCCCCATAGGCCCTGCTAGGGGCGCTGGCGACCCAGGGGCCCTCTGGAGCCATGATCCTTGGGGCCTTTCCAGGGGACGGGGGCGCCTCCAGGTAGTTCTAGGGGCGTGGTGCTCCCCAGAGGCCCTTCCAGCCCGGTGGTAGCGCCTTCAGGGAGCCCTTCCAGAGGCAGTGGCTCCCCCAGGCCTCTTTATGGGTGCCAATGCTCCCAGGGACCCTGCCAAGGCCTGGTAACTACAATAGGTCCTCCCCTGGGAGGCGGGCGCCCCAATGCAATGAATAGTGGTGTCGTACATGTGCATTCTTCAAGTAATCTCTTCCTTAACTGCTTGATTGGTGGAATAAAATGCGTCATCAAACTACAGCCAATAGAAAAACAGAGGAATCAGTCCTTTGCTTACCCCAACTTATGTTTTGCTGTTGAATATTTATTCTCCTTTTCATTGTTCAGGTTGCGATAATACTGAAAATGCTATGGGCAGTGTGTATTTTATTTAGTATATCTCCCAGAGTTTAAAAGTGAAACGAAAATAAATATCCAAGCAGCAAAGCATAAGACAAGAATGCTGACATTACTCTGTTCTCCCTATTAACAGCAGTGACGCTCGACGGGTACATCTTACTCCACCAATCACGAACCAAAATGAAGACTTCTGGGCGAATACAAAATGTATGACAAAACAATAAAGTTCTTGAGGCGTGCTGCATGTGGAAGGGGCCCCTGGGGGGCGCCGTAGCTGGCAGAACCCTGCCGCCCCTGGAAGAGCACCCACTGCGACTAGGAGGGCCCATACCAGCGCCACGGGCCCTAGGAGGGCCTATAGGAGTGCCGCAACCTCTGGCAGGGTCCTTGGGGGCAGAGGCGAGACCCTGGGGAGACACCGCCTCTGGAAGGGCCTCTGAATGTGCCACCCGCTGTGGTATGGCCCCTGGGAGCTCCGCCGACCTGGGAACACCCTGAAGGCGACCCCGTCCCTGTAAGGGACCTGGGATCGCCACTATCCCTGTGAGGGTCACTTGTCCATGCCAGGCAGGCACCCCCAAGGCCATCTCAGGGTCGGCGGTGCCCCAGGGGACCATTCTCAGGGGCCCTGGATCCACCAAGGGCTCTCTTAAGGACGGCTGCAATCCCTAGGGGCCTTCTCAGGGAAGGCGGAGTCCCACAGGGCTCCTCCAGAGCCGACTTTTCATGGGCTCTCCAGGGGCGGCAACGCTCCGCAGCAGGACCCTCGCAGGGGTGGCAACACTCCTAAAAGGACCATCACAGGGCGGCAGCGCCCCATAGGCCCTGCTAGGGGCACTTTGGTAAACCCTAGGGGCCCTCACAGTGCCCCAGCCATGATCCTTGGGGCCTGCAGGGACGAGGGGGCGCCTCCGGAGTACGTTCCTGGGACGTGGTGCTCCCGGGGCCCCTTCCAGCGTGGTGGCGCCCCTTCCGGGGCCTTCAGAGGCGGTGGTTCCCCAGGCCTGCTGTAGGTGCCAATGCTCCGGGACTCTGCGGCCTGTGGCTTACAATAGGTCCTCTAGGGAGGCGGCCCCAATAAATGGATAGTGGTGTGGTACATATTGCATTTTCTTCGATAATCTCTTCCTTAACTTTAGCGTTGGTGGAATAGAGGTAACGTCACATCCAAACTGCAGCCAATAGAAAAACAGAAGATGTTAAACAGCTTACCCCAACATGTTTTGCTGTTGAATATTCTATTCTCCTTTTCATTGTTCAGGAGTTGGTATTACCAGAAAATGCTATGGGCGTGTATGTTTATTTGCGTCATATCTCCCAGAGTTTAAAAGTGAAGGAGAATAAATATCCAGCATAAGATGAAAGAATGATATACTGGCTATTATATTCTCTTAATAATTGTCGGCGTTACTCCCACCAATCACGAATAATAAAGTTTCGTTGTCACAAAATGTATGACAAAACAATAATTCTTGGGGCGTGCTGCGTAATGGAAGGGGCACCTGGGGGCGCCGTCGCCCTGGAAGAGACCCTGCAGTCCCTGGAAAGGCACCCACTGCCACTAGGAGGGCCCATACCAGCGCCGCCGGCCCTTGGAGGTCCCACAGGGTCGCCGCAGCCCCTGGCAGGTTCCTTGGGAGCAGAGGCGCCCCACAGAGGGACCCTGGGGGAGACACCGCCTCTGGAAGGGCACCTGAATGCGCCATCGCTGTGGTATTGCCCCTGTGGGCGCCTACGTCCATGGGAACACCTCTGAAGGCGCCCCCGTCCCTGTAAGGGACCCTGGGATCGCCGCTACTCCTGTGAGGGTCCCTTGGCCATGCCAGGCACGGAGGCGCCCCCAGGGCCCCCTGAGGGTCGGCGGTGCCCCCAGGGGACCTGTCAGGGGCGCTGGATCCACCAGGGGCGGTCTTACGAACAACTATAATCCTAGGGGCCTTCTCAGGGAAAGCGGCGTCGACAGGGGCTCCTCCAGGAACAGCCGAGCTTCCATGGGCCTCTCAGGGACGGCAACGCTCCAAGGGACCGTCGCAGGGACGGTAACGCTCCTAGGGAGCCTCACAGGGACGGCGGCGCCCCCTTGGGCCCTGTTAGGGGCACGGGCGACCCTAGCGGCCCTCACAGGAACAGAAATGATCCCTGGGGCATTTCCAGGGACGAGGGAGCCTCCAGGTACGTTCCTAGGGACCGTGGTCTTCCCAGAGGCCCTGCCAACGTCGGTGGCGTCTAGGGGCCCTTCCAGAGGCGGTGGCTCCCCCCAGGCCTCCTTATAGGGCGCCACTGCTCCCAGGGACCCTGCCAAGGCCTTTGGCTCACAATAGGTCTTCCTAGGGGAGGCGGCACCCCAAAACAATGGATAGTGGTGTCATACATATTGTATTCTTCCAGTAATCTCTTACTTAACTGCGATTGGTGGAATAAGAGGTAACGTCATCAAATTACAGCCAATAGGAAAACAGATCAATCAGTCAGCACAACACCCCAACTTATGTTTTGCTGTTGGATATTTATTCTCCTTTTCATTGTTCAGGTTGCGATAATACTGAAAATGCTATGGGCAGTGTGTATTTTTATTTAACGTCATATGTCCCAGAGTTTAAATAGTGAAACGAGAATAAATATTCAACAGCAAAGCATAAGTTGGGGTGTTGTGCTGACTGACTGCTCTGTTCTCCTATTGGCACAGCAATTTCGGCCTGGCGTTACATCTTGCTCCACCAATCACAGTGCTTTAAAGATTTCTGGACGAATGCAAAATGTACTCGACAAAACAATAGTTCTTGGAGGGCGATGCTGCATGTGGAAGGGCCCCTGGGGAGTGTCTGCCAGTAGCCCCTGGCAGGGCCTGCCGCCTGGAAAGGCACCCTGCAGCTAGGAGGGGCCCATACCAGCGCCGGCCTAGAAGGGCCTATAGAGTGCCGCAGCCTCTGGCAGAGGCCCTTGGGGGCAGGGAGCGCCCCCATAGAAGGACCCTGGGGAGGCGCCTCTGGAAGGGCCTCTGGAATGTGCCACCGCTTGTGGTATGGCCCCTGGGAGCGCTGCCGTCCATGGGAACACCCTGAGAGCGCCCAAGTCGGTGTAAGGGGTCCCTAGGACCACCACAATCCTGTGAGGGTCACTTGTCCATGCCAGGCAAGGAGGCACCCCAGAGCCCTCTCCAGGACGGCTTGTTGCCCCCAGGGGTTTCAGGGGCGCTGGATCCCACCAGGGGCTCTCTTAGGGACAACTACCAGTCTAGGGGCCTTCTCGGGAAGGCGGCGTCCTGGGGGCTCACTCAGGAACAGCCGAGCTTCCATGGGCCTCTCCCAGGGGACGGCAACGCTCACGGTTCCCTCTCGCAGGGACGGCAGCACTCCCCACGAGGGACCATCCACACGGACGGCGCGCCCTCATGGGCCCTGCTAGAGCGCTGGCGACCCTAGGGGCCCTCACGAAGACCAGCCATGATCCCTGGGGCCTTTCCGGGGACGGGGGTGCCTCCGGAATGCGTTCCTAGGACGTGGTGCTCCCAGAGCCCTTCCAGCGGTGGTGGCACCGCCTTCAGGGGCCCTTCCAGAAGGCAGTGGCTCCCCCAGGCCTCTTTATGAAGGGTGCCTGCTCCCAAGGACCTACCAAGGCTGTAATGGAACTCCTCCTGAGGAGGCGGCGCCCCAAAACAATGGATAGTTGTGTCGTACATATTGCGTTCTTCAGTAATCTCTTACTAAACTGTGATTGGTGGAATAAGAGGCAATCATCAAACTACAATAATAGAAAAACAGAGAATCAGTCAGCACAACACACAACTTATGTTTTGCTGTTGGATATTTATTCTCCTTTTCATTGTTCAGGTTAGCGATAATACTGAAAATGCTGCTGGGCAGTGTGTATTTTTATTTAATGTCATATCTCCCAGAGTTTAAAAAGTGAAAGGAGAATAAATATCCAACAGCAAGCATATAAGATGAGTGTTAATACTGACTGTTATTCTCTAATGGCTGTAATTTGATGACACGTTATCTTGCTCCCATAATCACAGTGCTCAAGATTTCTGGGCGAATGCAAAATGTATGACAAATATCAAAGTTCTTGGGGCGATGCTGCGTAATGGAAGAGGCCTGGGGTGTACCCGTAGTCCCTGGCAGGAACCTTGCCGCCCCTGGAAGGCACCCTGCGACTAGGAGGGCCCATACCAGCGCCCGCGAGGGCCTAGGAGATTATAGGGGTCTGCCAACCTCTGGCAGAAGGGTGTGGGGGCAGAGGCGCCCCATAGAGACCCACCAGGGGAGACACCGCCTCTGGAAGGAGCCTCTGAATGTGCACACTGTGGTATGGCCCTGGGAGCGCCGCCGACCTGGGAACACCCCTGAAGGCGCCCACGTCCTGTAAGGGACCTGGGATCGCCACTATCCTGTGAGGGTCACTTGTCCATGCCAGGCAGGAGGCACCCCCAAGGCCTTCTCCCAGGGTCAGCGGTGCCCCCAGGGGACCATTCAGGGGGCGCTGGATCCCACCAGGGCTCTCTTAGAGACAACTGCAATCTAGGGGCCTTCTCGGGAAGGCGGAGTCCTGGGGGCTCCTCCAGGAACAACCCGAGCTTCATGGGCCTCTCAGGGACGGCAACGCTCCACGGGACCCTAGCAGGGACGGCAGCACTCCTAGGGACCATCACAAGGACGGCGGCGCCCCCATGCCAGGCCCTGCTAGGGGCGCTGGCGACCTGGGGGCCTCACAGACACCTGGCCACGCGATCATGGGGCCTTTCAGGGACAGGGGCGCCTCCAGGAATGCGTTCTAGGGACATTGAATTGCTCCCAGAGGAGCCCTTCCAGCGGTGGTGGCGCCTTCAGGGGCCCCTTCCAAGTGATTAGTTCCCCAGACTCTTTATGGGGTGCCAATGGTCCCAGGGACCCTGCCAGGCCTGTGGCTTGTAGGTCCTCCTAGGGGCGGCGGCGCTGGCCACAATGTGGATAGTGGTGTCGTACATATTGCGTCTTCGTAATCTCTTCCTTAACTGTGATTGGTGGAATAAGAGGTAACGTCTCATCAAACTACAGCCAATAGAAAAACAGAGAATCCCAGTCAGCACAACACCCCAACTTATGTTTTGCTTGTTGAATATTTATTCCTTTTCATTGTTCAGGTTGCGATAATACTGAAAATGCTATGGGCAGTGTGTATTTTATTGCGTCATATCTCCCAGAGTTTAAAAGTGAAAAGGAGAATAAATATCCAACAGCAAAGCATAAGTTGGGGTGTTGTGCTGACTATTACTCGACTATAACCCAACAGCAATTTATTGACGTTATCTGCTCCACACCAATCACGAATAGCAAAGACTACCAGACGAATGCAAAATGTATGATAAAACAATAAGTTCTTGAGGCGTGCTGCATGTGGAAAGGGCACCTGGAGGCGCCGTAGCCCCTGGCAGAGACCCTGCCGCCCCTGGAAGGCACCCACTGCGACTAGTAGGGCCCATACCAGCGCCACGGGCCTAGAAGGGGCCTATAGGGGGTGCCGCAGCCTCTGGCAGGGTCATGGGGGCAGAAGCCCATAGAGACCCTGGGAGACACCGCCTCTGGAAGGGCCTCTGAATGTGCCACCGCGTAGTATGGCCCCGGGAGCGCCGCCGACCCTGGGAACGCACTGAAGGCGCCCCCGTCCTGTGGGGACCCTGGGATCGCCACTATCCTGTGAGGGTCACTTGTCCATGCCAGGCAAGGAGGCACCCCCAAGGCCATCTCAAAGTCCGGCGGTGCCCCCAGGGGACCATTCAGGGGCTGGATCCACCAAGGGGGCTCTCTTAGGGACAACTGCAATCTAGAAGGGGGCCTTCTCAGGGAAGGCGGAGTCACAGGCTCCTCCAGGAACAGCAGAGCTTTCATGGGCCTCTCCAGGGGCGGCAACTCCGGGACCCTTGCAGGGGCGGCAACACTCCCCGAGGGACCATCACACAGGACGGCGGCGCCCCGCAGGCCCTGCTAGGGCGCTGGCGACCCTAAGGGCCCCTCACGGAGCACAGCTCGCGCATGATCGCCCAGGGGCCTTTCAGGGGACAGGGGCGCCTCCGGGTACGTTCCTGAGGGACCGTGGTGCTCCCAGAGGCCCTTCCAGCGGTGGTGGCGCCTTCAGGGGGCCCTTCCAGAGGCGGTGGCTCCCCAGGCCTCTTTATGGGTGCTGTGCTCCCAGGGACCCTGCAAGGCCTGTGGCTTTACAATAGGTCCTCCTAGGGAAGCGGCTAATACAATGGATAGTGGTGTAGTACATATTGCATTCTTCAAATGTCTCTTCCTTAACTGTGATTGGTGGAATAAGGAGTAGCGTCATCAAACTACAGCCAATAGAAAAACAGAGAGGAATCAGTCAGCACAACACCCCAACTTATGTTTTGCTGTTGAATATTATTCTCCTTTTCATTGTTCAGGTTCGATAATACTGAAAATGCTATGGGCAGTGTGTATTTTTATTTAACGTCATATCTCCCAGAGTTTAAAATGTGAAAGGAGAATAAATATCCAACAACAAGCATAAGTTGGGGTGTTGTGCTGACTGATTGCTCTGTTCTCCTAATGGCTGTAATTTGATGATGTTACATCTTGTTCCACCAATCACAGTTAAGTAAGGATTTCTGTCTGAGAATGCAAAATGTATGACAAAACAATGAAGTTCTTGGGGCGATGCTGCATGTGGAAGGGCCCTGGGGGTGCCGTAGCCCCTGGCAAGCCCTGCCGCCTGGAAAGCACCTACTGCGGCTAGGAGGGCCCATGCCAGCGCCACTGGCCTAGAAGGGGCCTATAGGGGTGCTTGGCCTCCTGGCTTGCGGGTCCTTGGGGGGCAGAGGCGCCCCATAGAAAGGACCCTGGGGGAGACACGCCTCTGGAAGGGCACTCTGAATGCCACCGCTGTGGTATGGCCCTGGGAGCTCCGCCGTCCTGGGAGAACACTCCTGAAAGCGCCCCCGTCCTGTAGGGACCTGGGATCCTCACTATCCCTGTGGTCACTTGTCCATACCAGGCAAGGAGGCACCCCAGGGCCATCTCAGGGTCTGCGAGGGTGCCCCCAGGGGACCATTCAGGGAGACGCTGGATCCCACCAAAGGGGCTCTCTTAGGGACAACTGCAATCCTAGGGGCCTTCTCAGGAAGGCCGGAATCCCACAGAGAGGGGCTCCTCAGGAACAGCCCGAGCTTTCATGGGCCTCTCAGGAAGCTGACAACGCTCCACGGGACCTACTTGGGACAGCAACACTCCTGGGACCATCACAGGACAGCGGCGCCCCATAGGCACTGCTACGGGCGCTGGCGACCTAGGGGCCCTCACAGACACAGCCATGATCATGGGGCCTTTCAGGGGACGGGGCGCCTCCAGGTACGTTCACAGGGGCGTGTGTGGTGCTCCCAGAGGCCCTTCCAGCGGTGGTGGCGCCTTCAGGGGCCCTTCCAGAGGCGTGGCTCCCCAGGCCTCTTTATGGGGTGCCAATGCTCCCAGGGACCCTGCCAAGGCCTGTAACTACAATAGGTCCTCCTAGGAGGCGCCCCAAAACAATGGATAGTGGTGTCATTTATTGCATTCTTCAGTAATCTCTTGCTTAACTGTGATTGGTGGAATAAGAGGTGATCATCAAACTACAGCCAATAGAAAAACAGAGGAATCAGTCAGCACAACACCCCAACTTATGTTTTGCTGTTGGATATTATTCTCCTTTTTCATTGTTCAGGTTGCGATAATACTGAAAATGCTATGGAGAGTGTGTATTTTATTTAGCGTCATATCTCCCAGAGTTTAAAAAGTGAAAAGGAGAATAAATATCCAACAACAAAAGCACTTCGTGAGGTATTAATAGCACAAACTGTATATTCTCTAATGGCTGTAATTTAATGACGTTATCTTCCTACGAATAATAAAGAATTTCTGGGCGAATGCAAAAATGTATGACAAAACAATGAAGTTCTTGAAGCGTGCTGCATGTGGAAGGGCCTAGAGTGCCGTAGTCCCTGGCGAACCTTGCCGCCCCTGGAAAGGCACCCGCACTGCGACTAGGAGGCCCATACCAGCGCCACGGGCCTAGGAGGGCCTATAGGGGTGCCTGCAACCTCTGGCA